GGTGCTGGTTGGCGTTGGTTAGTTGAACGACTGCCGACGGCCGCCGATGGACGAACTGACGAGTGGACAAACGGTAGGGCAGAGCACAGCCGAACTGAGTACAGTGGAGTTCAGTCCAGTCAAGTCCAGTCCATTCAAGCCATATTCCGTTCCTGTCCTAGTCGCTGTCCCTAGGTCTCGGTCTCGGTCTCGGTTTCGATCCGATCCGATCCGTCCGGTCCGGTCCGGTCCGGGTCCGGTCCGGTCCAGTCTGTTCACGCTTCACGCACACAGCTACTGACAACTAATAGCACTCGCACCATGCCAGTCTGGTTCTTGCGGCCGGGCGCACGTAGCTGAGCGACGGCGGCCATGGCAGCCACTTCTTCGTTTCGTACGCACTCGTTCGCACTCGTTCGACGGCGCTGTAAAGTTAAGCGCCACAAGTTGGCGCAGTGTCAGCAAAGTTTGTCTCCTCGCAAGCTCGCAAGGCGCCGGCGTCTCTATCGTTCACTGCAGCGGTGGCGAACAGGCGCCAGTCCTTCGCCGCACCTCGCTGTCGTCGTTACCTACGCTGCTTGGCTCTACCAGACGTCGACGTCGCCGCCACAGTCCTTATCCTCGTCGCGGTTTCATTCTTTCCTCTTTCCATTAACCACTGGTTCACTTGCTATGTAGCACGGACAAACATCGCCCTGCGCGTCAGGTGACCGTCGACTTCTTTGTCGCTGACCATGTGCCGCTTTTAGGTCCGCTGCCGCACGCCAGACCGAAGCTTTACTGCGTCTGTTGGCCGTCCGTCCATCGTGTAACGCGTTCTTCTGTCCTGACGTTCTTTACTTAGTCCGTTCCCTTGTTCGCGCATATTCTATTGTGTTGCCGTATCCGCCTCGCGTGGCTCCCTCATATCGGATCACGACTTCGTTCCAGCAGCACTGCTCACTGATTGGTCGCCTGCGTGACAGTATATTGTCTTACTGTAGGTTGACCGGTCTATGCGACTGATTGATCAGCGATGGCTGCAACAGCGGTCGGCTTGTACAACGTTGTCGTAGCCGTGACTGTCGCCGTCTTTCTGCTGACGGTAGAAGCTGCCAGAGCGCCCGTAAGTTCGTAGAAGTCCGATGAGTGTAGAGGTAATAAAAGTTTTCATTTGAACAGACCGAATGCGTTGGTTGTACGCCGCCTTGCATCTGCCCCGGACAGAAGGGCGAACGAGTATTGTCACCCCGTAAACTGTAACTGTGATGACAGTTTATTTCAGGGTGACCCCGGCTTTCAAGGTCTTCCGGGTCATCCGGGAGAACCCGGAGACATCGGCCCAGAGGGACCTGAAGGATCGAAGGGTCCTCATGGACCTTCAGGCGAAGAAGGTCAGATGGGACCAAAAGGATATCGGGTACGGATGCAAACCCAATATCTACCTGTTACCATATAACAGCGTACAATAGTTTTAGGGTG